AATTTTTATACAACCTATACACTTGTCTAAAAATAAATAGCAAATAAATAAAAATACATGTTTTTTTAAAAAAACCTAAATGTCTAAAATGTCACGTTTTATTTTTTTGTATTTTTAGGTTAATTTTAAGCATTTATAAAATAATTAGTTATCTAATTCTAAATTAATTACAAAGGTTAATTAATTAAAAAAACTAAGTCTAATAAAATTGAATTAAAAATATGTCCAAAATTAGATTAATTAATAAAAATCCTAAGACTATTTTTTATGGATTAAAACGATTAGTAGAAAATTAAATAAGAAAATAAGTAAAAATAATGGAAAGTGGAAAAGATTAGAAAACAAATAAAAGATGGTTGCAAGCGCCCAGGCTCGAACCCACACTCTCTCCTTTGCCGAGCAAGAACACTACCATTGCGCCATGAGACAAATAGAATTTTATGCCCTAAAAGTGGCATCTTGTATTCCTCGTGTTAAAACTTGCATGTAAGGCTTCAAACCTGTTCTAAACAATCATGCTAAGCAATCTGAATTGTTAGAATCAATTAATAATGCATATAATTTGTAATATGAATAATAAAAAATAATGCAAACCGGACATGGCATGTATGCAAGTTTTAGGTACGAATAGGCATGAAAAGTTACATATTCTTACCTTAGAGATGTTCTGGAAGTGGTTTAAGGTGGTGGTTTGGATTGAATCAAACTGAAACTTGAGATTCAATGGTGCACTTTCTTTGAAAATTTGTAATTTTTGAGACTTTTTTTGAGGCAAAATTTTTGTGTCATTGTAGTGTGAGGGCTTGAGTATTTATAGAGGAGGGGATTTAATTCATCAAATAAGTAAAGAATCAAGTGATCATGGTGTTACTAAAAATCAATGAAACATATTTTCTAACTTACCGTTTTTAAAGATCCTTGTCTCAAACATGTCTCTCACGGTTTTGACAAGCTTTTATGAGGTCTTGGACCTTCTAGGAGATGTCCAAATGATCATAGTCCAACATTAATCCAACTATTTGTTATTTTTTAATTTAATTATTTTACAAAAGTTAAATAAAATTTTAAATAAATAGGATAAAAAATATGGCCATGTACCAATGGACTTAAAGGTCTTTATCATGTCATAAACATGTTTGATCCTCAAAAGTTAGGCCCATTAGTTTAAAAATTTAAAATTGCTCAATTAAGGTTTCATGCATTTCTCAAAAATTGTCCAACTTGTGTCAATCATAACTCTCAGAATTTTTGTCATATGAAGGTAATCTTGGACTTTTTGGAAACCTCAAGATGTCTCCTACAACTTTCATGTCAGTCATTTTTTCATTTGAGGTCTTTAATTTAATTTAATTTCCTTGACAAAAAAATATCTTTTTGTTGACTTTTAAAATGACCTGTAATGTTTTGATCCATATCTCTCAAATGAAGTATTTTTGGCCTTGAGCTTAGAGATCCATATCCCTTTTAGTTGACTTCTCCTTAAGAAAACCTTAATTAGTAATTTTTTTACTTTTGATGAATCTTGAGTTTTCTTGATGAATCATGATCAACCCTTGATCAAATGATGAATGTGACTTCAAAATCTTGATGTTGACAAAAATGTTGAGTTTTGATTGTATGTTAACCACAGTTGAGTTTTTAATACAATTGATTTTTAATCATTTGTGTTATTGACTGAGAAAACTTGTGATACAAGACTTTAAACTTGACATGAGGATTATTTGAAACATATGAGGAACCATGAAACTCACTTGAGGCATTAGAAGCTCAATTTTCTTTGAGAAAACCAAAACCCTAATTGTAGGCCACTGCTTAGGAGGAGGGTTCATATGATCAATTCTTGAATAGTCTTGAGTGTTTGAGACCCTTAAGAGCATGAGGAGGTATCTTGAATCAATTTGTCTTCAAAAATAGGAGTGCAAATTTTGGGGTACAACACGTGGCCCTAAGATTTTCCTGTTGTAGTATCTCTAGTTTCCTAGCGGATCAAAATAAAGCTCTTTATTGATTTTTTATACGTAGGAGTCTGTCACTCAAAAGGTTTTCGGTTTGTTAGTGCACTTGGTTGTGGATGATTGTTATGAGTTCATTCTCCCTTTTATCCCTAGCGTGGTTTGGAGTTATTGAAGGCTTTAAGATATTTTCGATTTTATTGCTTGCATTATGGTGGTGGTGGTGGTTGTTTCGATGTTTGGCTTTGGAGTAGTTTCTGAAAAGGCTAGAATGATGGCACAACCTAAAAAGTTTCTTGATCATCCAATGGAAGAATTGTAATTTAACGCGAGGCAGTTGGAGATGTTCCTAGAACCGGACCGCCTCCCTCAGCGGGAGAAGGAGAATTTCACAAGTGGAAATGGGGACGTTGGTTGCAGAAACGACCATGTGATGAGCGGATAATCGAGTTAATTTGGATGTTATCATTATTGTTAACGAAAATTTATGATGATTCGATCGGTTAATAAAAATTGATGCAACAATGCAACGGAGGAGATCAGAGGAGTTCAATGTGAATTTTTGCGAGAGTCAATAGTTTCCCACGTACCTTGGTGTGATGCACAATAATGCTTATATATGGACAATTAAACACTACTACGAAAAACACATATAATAACGGTTGTGAAAGACCTATAATAACAGTTGAACAACCATTGTTAGGTGGAATGTGATTGTATGTGGGTTATTTATAATCACGGTCTATTGCCCGTGGTAGTAAACTAGATAGTGCGCTACATACAATCACAGTTATATTAAATAACTGTTATTGTATGTCTTTTAATAAACAACAACAATAAGAACAATAAGAACAATAAGAACAACAATAACAACAATAAGAACAACAACAACAATAACAACAACAACAACAACAAGAACAACAAAAACACCACCACCAACAATAAGAACAACAACAAAATAACAATTTCACGCAGATCACTAATGGTGGTGTCTTGAGCGTTGATACTCACTAAATTGACGATCAAGATTTGTTTAAGGACGGTGAAAAAATTCAATAAACATGCTTATATTAGGATTCAAACCCATGACTCTGTAAATTTTCATCACGGTTGAAACTTTCAATTGTAGTAGTAAAGAGGATGTCGTGCTACATACAACAACGACTGCATTAAACAACCGTTGTTGTATGTCTTATAATAAAATATAAAAAATATAGTAGTAGAACAACAACAACAAGATTCAAATTTATGACCATGCATCACTTTATACCACAGTTGAAACTTCCAACTGTGATGAAAAATGACTTAAAAATGAAAGAAAAAAAAGTCTAATTGAATAGATTCTAATACGGTGGATCATTTGATCGTGATAATGTAGACATTGTTGTATATTCTCTTTATAGTAGTGAAAACTATCCTTGATTAATGCGGTGTGAAATGCAAGAGACAATTTAATTGATTTCAACTAGTGCGATAAACGTAATGTCAGATTCGGTGTGTCATCTCTTAATCCTTCAATTTAGACTAGTATAATTAGATCATTTTGCCGATCCATAATGACATTTTAATTTGTTGTTGTGCACGTGTTAGTTAATTATAATAATTATATTGAGTGTGATTAAAGGTGGATATAATAAAGAAAAGGATACATAAGAGCGAAACTTGTGTTCTTTGTCGCCCATGAAAAACGTTAAAGTTGGGCCTGAGGGTTGACAGTGATTCGTTAAAGAATCCGAAAACATTCTTAATTAAACACTATCAAAATCAAACATACATAATTAATACATAACATTTTTGTCGCGTTATTTTATTTTTGTCCGTTGCAATCTGCAAACTCCATAACACAACTCCAACCTCAGATCAATTTACTCCAACTTCTAATCACGGTTAGTTTCATTTCCTTCCTTCTCCCTTTCAATTTTTCCTACCACATTCTCAACCCATCACAATGTTTTCTTGATTGATTGATTGAGTCATTACCTGTGTTTGATCTCAAATGTCCCCTTTATGGATCTGAGACCCCTCTATGGATCTGTTTGTGATGGATTAGAAAAGCAATGCCTGGATTTTTTATGTTTGTTTTCATAGAGTCAAGAAATGTTGTGCATTGTGAAATCTTATGCTGATGTTTGTATATTAGAGTTTGTTTTATTTGAATTGAATTGGAAATTTGGAATTTGTGGTAGTATTCAGAGATGCATCTGTGTTGGGCCCTTTTGTATCAACCCAGAAAAATCTTACTGCGTCACTTTAAGGGGCTGTTACTGTGTATGATCTGAAAAGAATTGAACTTTTATGTTTACTTTTGATGCAAGATCTATTTTGTTCATGTTGATGATTCACTTCACCACTCTTAAATTGGGTCTATTTTACTCGTGCCTGGATGAACCAAAGATCATATTATAGATGAATGTGAGTCTGTTTTTAGAATTATGGTGTGATTTTGATGAAGACTTGTATTTATGTTACTTATTCTTCTTACAATCTTAAGTTGCCCTATCCATTAATATAGTTGTTTCATTTTATTCAATTTAAAATAATCCCTTGAGAAAAAATAGGATCCAATTATTTGAGAATAACAGTGATTACTAGATGAGACAATAGGAGTGTGTTTTTAGCTTAAGATCCTGAATGAGAAGTGAATCTTTTACTGAGAGTGCAAAGCCTCATGCATAACAATGTTGTGTCTCCTAGAACAATGAATGTAGTTTTTAAGAGGATTGCTTTTGTCATCCAAAAGGGGTAGCGGCAGAGCTTGGTATCCGTTTGCCTTCTATTTCTATATAATGTTTATTATATATTTCCTTTTGTTTCTGTAAATTTGATTTCATACTCTGGTTTTAAAGGCTTGGTGATTCTCATTTTATCAACTTGTGACTATCCACACATGCATTTTTTTTTTCAAAATGATATTTCATGTCCTTCCATTTTGCCAGGCTTCTTTGTTTGCTTAAATGTCTTGACTCCTGCATTATTTGAACGTGGGCGGAATGTTATGGAGGCTAGTTGAAAGAGATCGGTGATAAGTTGTGAAGGATTAAAAAGAACATGGCTCCTTCTAGCAAGGCTGAGAAGAAGGCAGCCGTAGATGCTGCTGCATGGATGTTCAACGTTGTCACTTCTGTTGGAATTATCATTGTAAACAAAGCTTTGATGGGCGGTTATGGCTTCAGTTTTGGTATATTACTTTACCAATTTCTTGATCATATTTCTTTACTAATCTACTATGACATAAAACTTTAGTATTATTTCCGTTTCTTGTTTTAAGTATGATTTTACTTTATTTCATGCAGCTACAACGTTAACTGGTCTTCATTTTGTTACAACAACTTTGATGACACTCGTACTACGGATGCTAGGATATGTCCAGCCTTCTCATCTTCCCTTTTCCGAACTTCTAAAATTTGTTTTCTTTGCTAACTTCTCTATTGTTGGAATGAATGTCAGTCTTATGTGGAACTCAGTTGGATTCTATCAAGTGAGTTGGGCTGAATTTTTTATATTGCCCTATTAGTGCCTCATAAGTTAAATTTGTTTCTTTATTAACCATTGGCAGATTGCCAAATTGAGTATGATCCCTGTGTCCTGCTTGTTGGAAGTTTGTTTGGACAAGATTCGCTATTCAAGAGACACGAAACTGAGCATAGGTGTTGTTCTTTTGGGTGTTGGTGTTTGCACTGTTACTGATGTGAGTGTAAACACGAAAGGTTTTGTTGCCGCCTTTATAGCCGTGTGGAGCACTTCTCTTCAGCAGTATGTAAGTTCGAAAATCCACACTACATGTAGTGTAACATATTGCATTAATATTTGTTTCTTAGAATTTGGGAATGGAACATAACTTAACACCTCAAAACTGATGGATTTTCAAATCTTTTACGTGCAGTATGTTCATTATCTTCAACGGAAGTATTCACTAAGTTCTTTCAACCTTTTGGGACATACAGCACCTGCACAGGCTGGATCGCTACTGTTATTAGGCCCCGTTCTAGATTATTGGTTAACCAACAAGAGAGTTGACCGATATGCTTATGATACACCATCCGTGGTAAGTTTGGCTTAACAGAAAGAATGCAATGCTATCAAATTAAACAAATAGCTCCTAGAAATATAGTTCTCTGAAAATTAGTTTGCGCGCTTTTGTAGGACTCGCAGGTTTTGTCACTGACTTATGTGTGTTACATTAACTTTCACTAATCAATTGTTGTTGTTGTGATGTCACTGGCAGATGTTCATAACCCTGTCATGCACCATTGCAGTTGGGACCAACCTAAGCCAATTCATCTGCATTGGGAGATTTACTGCTGTGTCTTTCCAAGTACTTGGTCATATGAAGACAATACTTGTTTTAATAATGGGATTCTTTTTCTTTGGTAGGGAAGGTCTCAATCTTCATGTAGTTGTAGGTATGATAATAGCTGTTGTTGGAATGATGTGGTATGGCAATGCATCATCGAAGCCTGGCGGAAAGGAGCGATGGAGTCATTCTCTCCCCACCAACAAAACAGAAAGCAAGTAGTAGTTCGACAGTATTCACTCATATTATGACGGTTTTATTTGCAAATTGCAAAAGTTGAGCACACCAAATAGTTGATTTTAGGAAAGTATATTTATTTTTTTATAAAATTAAACCTTATTGGTTCTAATTATTTTAACCTCGTTTGTAATTCTTTAAATTTGATTCTTGTTTTGGATACTAGTTGATATATCTTTATGTCTTGCAATTAATATTTGATCTCGGATTTAGTACCTGATGATGTCAAAGTGAGATTTAGAGTAAATGCAAGCAAGTATGAGAATATGAGTGAGTGATTGGATACCTGACCCTTTTAAGTGAGAGGATATTTATAGCTCTCAGCGATGACAGCAAAGATTGCCAGAGTTTACGGGAATACGTTATTCCCATATGGACACGTGAGCTATGTTCCCCTAGTGGTGAGGAAATGTCCAACGGTCCTCAATTTGAACTGTGTGCTTTTGGACCCTTGATAAAAACATTTGATTGGGCCTCCCCAACGGTAGGACAAGTATCAGTCCAAGGCAGAACATACCCCAACGGTAGGACAAGTATCGGTCCAAGGCAGAACATACCCCAACGGTAGGACAAGTATCAGTCCAAGGCAGAACATAGACCAATATTTTTGAAGGGTTATTAGTTTGGGTTGAATCTTTGACAGTTTAGATTGAATCTTTGACAATTTAACGAGTGCAACACAAATTAATTGTAAATATGAATAATGAACAAGAAAATATTAAAGAAAAACCACAAAATGCTTAGAATTGAAAGAAAAAAAAGTTACGTTGTAGAAATACGCAGCAGTGAATTATAGAGAACTTGTATGTTCTAGAGCTTGGATGAATTTAAAAATAAAAAACGCTAACTTGTGCTCTAAGTCACAAGTTAATAAATCTAATCAAATAGAGAAACTTAGTGTATGGAAAATTGATTTCTTAACAGCTTAAAGATTGTTTTTTCTAACACCACTTCCAATTTTTATAATAACTGTAAAAAACCAAATCAACAACCCACTGAGTTCTACATTTGGAAACTTTTGTTATTATTAGTATTGATTATTTTTATTACTTTTCACATAATTTGTTATTATAGCTTGTGGTATTACTATTGAGAAGTAGCATTTTGATAAGATCCATTGCAGAGAAATACCAATATCATATAGTAAAATTGAAATAAATTGAAAATGCGTTTAACAGCGGTCTAAGAAACATGTCTAAATGAACTCAAAATATGCATTCCTTAAAATATCTAATCTCCATGTCAAAATATAACCACTCAACGCTTCTTTGAGACACCAACAGTCTTTCCTCTACGGCCAGTAGTCTTGGTATGCTGACCTCGAACACGGAGGCCCCAGTAGTGCCTCAAACCACGGTGGTTTCTGCATCATAAAAAGGATGTTAGCCTTCAAGTGTTAACACAACCAAAATTTTATTGACCAGCAAGTGCCAAATTTATCCACTTGCATCCTTCAATATATTACTAAATACAGAATTTGAGAAGTCTATAAATAAAAAGCCTATTCCATTTAGCCTACTTGAACTTATCTACCTGCACAAGAATTTATGAAAATGTTTGGGGCATAAAGAATCTGCCTATGACATATCCATAAACTGTTTTCAGCTTAAGTTCTACAGGATAGCTTTTGAAAATAGTTTATCGATAAAATAAAAACAAGGACTTTATTTTAATGTTATACAATAGAAATAGCACTTCTGTGACGGGTGCTTAACGAAATTGCTTATCCAAATGCAGCCTAAAACTATTTAACTTATGTTGCCATCATCTCAAATCTCATGATACATTTGTCTCTATATCAACATGAAGATCAAATATAGAAAAAAAGCTGGGAAAAGCCTATTATTTCAATACTAGCACTGACAACAATATCCTACAACCAAATACAAGTAAATAAGAACTTTTTGGCCCAGTATTTTAGCTTATGAGAACCATTTGATTGTGAAAGCACTAACACTTCTCATTGTCATAGACCAGTTATTCTATTTCACATTCTACATTAATTTTATAACTCATTATGTGTCTACTATTTTCAATTGAATTTCCTTAAGAATATAGAGAATAACATGAGTGGTGATGCATGCTGTTTTAGCGTGTAGAATTGTTATTCCATTTCAAAACAAAATGGAGGAATAATTTGAATAAACTCAAATGAAAACAATAATGAAGCAACATTGATTGAGAGGTATTGCCCTGAATACATACCTGATTTTCTTGAGTCTCTCCAAATCGTCCCTCAACTTCATGTCGAGTCCATTGGAGACAACTTGAGAGAATTTGCCATCTTTGTAATCCTTCTTCCTATTCAAGAACCAATCAGGTATCTTGAATTGACGAGGGTTGGCAACCACTGTCATCAAATTATCCAACTCTGCAGCACTCAACTCCCCAGCCCTAAATATCCCAATAACAAAAAAAAATCACTCATTTATCATCAACAACAACAAAAAGGAATTTTATTTATGCAATCGATAGAACTAAACTACAAACCTCTTGTTCATGTCAATATCAGCTTTCTTACAGCAAATGTTAGAAAATCGCCTTCCAATACCCTTGATGGAGGTCATTGCGAACATTATCTTCTGCTTTCCGTCAACATTGGTGTTCAGCACACGCAGAATGTGCTGAAATTCTTCGTTCGCCACCAAAGACTATCATTCATAACAACAACAACAAAAAATTACAAAATCAGTGGTTATGCAGAAACACGGTACAGTAGATAGATGAAATCGAGACGTGATGATGAACGCACCATTTTAGGCCAGGCGATAAGGTTCCCTGCGAACGGAGATGACGGCGGTTTGTCGCACTGTGGCCAAGAAAGATGTAAGCGGGGAAGAACTAGGGTTTCTGAAACTATATGGAATTTATAATATCCTAAATATCTAGATTTACGGTTTTGACCCGGACAAGTTTTTTTTTGTACTGCGAGTACTGGGCTCTTGAGAGATGTTAAAGAACTAAAATTCCAAAAAGCAAATTTGTAATTTAAATATGAAATTAGTATATAAATAAGATACTTTTGTACATGCATTCAATTAAAATAAATCGAATAGATTTTATATTGACATATTTTTAAAATTGATCTTATATAGTATGGGCATGACTTTGTTAGAAATGTCATATTTGATATATTTCAGTGTATTAGAGTATATATGAAAAAAAAGACATATGTGAATTTTTTGGATGATTTATGGGAGAGAAGAGCAACACTTAGATCGACAAGTGTTCTCATGTACAAGTGGGTAGGAGAGAGAGACATGCATGTGTAGACTTGACTTTAATTTTCGCACTGGTGGGATTGAGGACTGAAAGTTATTATTGTGGGATATACAACTCTAAAAAACGTTTCAAGTAAAGTTGTCAAATATGAGAAAACATGTTTCTACAATCAACATGTTTTCATACTATTTGTCTTTAACACTTTTGATTTTCTAGCATCATAAACAGCGAATCTTTTACAGATAATACAAAGACTATGTTGGTGCACAAGGAAGATAAAAGACAAAAGGAATATTTACTTGATAGTTTCAAAAATAAGGATTTACAATTAATTACAATAACATACTCCATTAGGCTATTTATACACAAAAATTATATCTAAAATGTATTTTCTACAAAGATATAAGAATATCTAAGATATCTTCTAACAAAGATATAAACAATCTAAAAGATATTCCTAAATATAAATTAATATCTAATTAAATCTAAATTAATTCTAACATTATCCCTTAATTTATATTTACCCAAAACTGACAACACCAATTTCATCCCTTAAATCAAGAAATTGATCAGTTTTGATAGCCTTTATCAGAATATATGTCAGCTGCTCCTGAGTGCTACAATGCACAATCTCTAATATTCCATTCTGAACTTGATTCCTCAAAAAATGATATTTGGTCTCAATATGCTTGCTTCTCCCATGCAACACTGGATTCTTGGCGAGATTGATTGCAGACTTGTTATCAATCATCAGCTTCAGAGGTTTATTTACCTCAATCTTCAGATCTTTTAGCAAGTTCAGAATCTACACAGCTTGACATGCAGTCAGAGCACCTACAATATATTCAGCTTCACAGGTTGACAGAGCAACAACAGGTTGCTTCTTGGGACACCAAGAAATAGGACCTCCCAGAAATTTGAATAAGTATCCAGAAGTACTTCTTCTGTCAACTTTATCTCCGCACCAATCGGAATTAGAATAACTCAGAAGTTCTGATTCGATCTTTCTTCTAGACGGAAATAACACTCTGTATTTCAGAGTTCCCTTCACATACCTCAGAATCCTGACTGCAGCTTGGTAATGGGACCACTTTGGTTTGCTCATAAATTTTCTAACCATTCCAACTGCATAGCAAATATCAGGTATGGTATTACACAAATACTTTAGAACCAACCATTTGTTTGAAGGTTGTAGCATCCACATCCTCTCCATCAGAATCAGAGTCCAACTTCTGATTCGTATCAGCAGGTGTGATAGCAACCTTACAATTTTCTAACTCAAATCTCTTTAGAAGCTCTAGTTCATACTTCATCTGATGTAAAATGATTCTTTTCTCAGAGTACATAAATTCCATCCCTAGAAAGAAACTCGTTTTTCCAAGATCTGTCATCTCAAATGCATTCATCAGAACTTTCTTGAACTCAATTATCTCTTGTTCAGAACTTTATGTAAGTAATATGTCATCAACGTACAAACAGACCAGAATCATATTATCTTCTGAAGTGTGCTGAACATAAACACCATGCTCCATCTCACACTTCTGAAACCCGTGTTCCTTGAAAAACGAATTAATCTTCAAATTCCAAGCTCTGGGCGCTTGCTTCAATCCATACAATGCTTTGTGTAATTTGAACATCATCCTTTCCTGATTCTTTTTCTCAAATCCAGGGGGTTGTGAAACGTACACCTCTTCTTGTAATGGACCATTCAGAAATGCAGATTTTACATCTAAATGCATCAGAGGTCAATTCATGTTAGCAGA